CTCCGGGGCAGGCGGGAATCGAACTCATGCGGAAGTGGTTTTAGCTTCTTAGTGCTGTGCTTTAACCCGCTGCGCCACCAGGGAGGGCCTGATGTGAGTTTTTCTTATAAACTTTTGATCAACTAAGATTGGTAAATCAAGAAGGTGGAAGAAGCTGAGTTACTGCTAAGCAATTGAACACAAATAAATAAGCAAATAAATAATTAGAACCATTTTACATAGCCAAGTATATAAGTCTATGTAGCCGAAATTACAAAAATATTATTGGACTAAAATAATTCTATCATTTTAACTTTACATTCAGAGGGCAATCAAATGCCTAGTAATTAAGGTTTGGGATGTTAGATTGAAATGAGTGGTATGGAAAAGTACAAATCAGCTGTGAAACATAATAGCATATCACTACTTCATCAGCAGTTATCTAAACAACTGCTGGAATCTTCCAGCACAAGTATCACACAGCTATCAAAAAGATAACTTAAAAGCTGTATGTTCAAGGGAAGAAAAAGACAAAACCATCCAACTCATGCCAAGAAAAATCCCAGTCCTTACTTAGCGTCATTACATTTAGAGTTAGTCCAATTTGGCAGTCATTCACTAAATGCTTTTTCCTCTTGGGGATAGAACTCTTGAAACATTTTATAATACAAAAAAAAAAAAAAAAAGCATCTTACTTTAATACAAACCCAGGGTTTTTAGAATCTATGGTAGCAGATACCCATCGACAGCAATAAAGCCAAACTAGAAAAGTCCTGAACAATCTACACACAACACAGATAGCTCCATAGTTGAGTCGCGGACTCACACTGCAGAACGTGGTCAGTCTTGCTCATATAATCCCATGAAGGAGTAGTCCCATAAAGATATAATCACGTTATAGACACTTGATAGTGACCTGCAAAGTTCCTGGAATGATCTGCTCAGTGAATGATCTGCTCAGTGCATCAAGTGGTTGCAAGCAAGGACTGACTCTGAAGGTGTACTCTGCAGCTTGGAAGGTCTGCTGGCAACACCCATTCCTTCTAGAACCAGACCAGTGACCACCTCTGGCTTATGTACCTTTCAGGGAGGCCCTTTGACACAGGTTAAGAAAAGGAGAGGGAGAGAAACCCCGTCCCAGGCCAGCCGAGAGTGCCTGCATGTTCCTATGGTGACTCATGGGTGGAAAACAAGCCAGACAACAGGAACAGAGGGGAAAGTGTGAAGGGAAAAGGGGTTGCCCAGCAGATGTGGGGTGAGTTACCTCCCTAGACGCTGTCAAAGAGCCCCCCAAATTCAAAGGCCAATGAAACCTCAAATCACTCAAACCACTGACAGTAGCCAAGTAAAATGAATTCAGTGTCTAAAAATTTTTGACATGTTATCCTGAAACTCTAATTAGAAAGTGCCAGAATCTTCAGATACAAGTTGAAGCATTTTAAAAATTGTGTGTAATCTGTTTTTCTCCCACTTCCTTTACAAAAGGACCGTGCGATCATTTTCCACCTCTACTTGGCAAAAGTGACAAGCTAGTTCCCGTTCTTTTTGTTTCCTGTGACAGATAACATAATGATTTCCACTTCCTCAATTAGTTAATTCAGTTCTGAATAAATATCCCCAATGCAATAATTACTGCCTGCTAGGCCAATCTGAAATCTGCTTGGAAAACTTTGCCATTAACAACTTTCACAACTAATAAAAGTTTTTCCACTATATAATATAAAAGAAGCATCTCCCCAAGTTCTTTTATCCAGTACCAACTTGGGCTTATATTGTACTCTTCTCTTTTGCTCCTACTTCGTATTTGATTCCAACCAATTTATTGGCTTCATATTCCAAATTCATCCAAAATCCAACCCATGTCATCACTGCCACTGATACCAGCTTGGTCTAGTCACTATTCTCTTCTCTTTATCTGGA